ACCTCCATCTCTTCTTAAGTACTCCAAATGATCTCTCAATACAACTTCGGAGTGAAGAGTGTGCACGATTAAAAGCTTCCTCAGCATTAGTGGGCAACTCATTCTCAAATTGGGACTGATGATATCTGATCTTTGGATATGGTACGAGATACCCTTTTCGATCAGGGTAGCCTTTATCTACCAAGTAATATCGACCGACAAAGAACGGTTTTAATTTATTATACAAAATAAATTTATAAAAAATCAAACAATCACATACCTTGAGGCAGATGTGGAAAGTTCATAGAAAGTGTGTCAATTGCGTGTAAAAAAACACGTGTATCATGAGCAGATCCCTCCACCCCAACAGATATAAATGTGAAGCACATATCGAAATCACATGCAGCCATGACATTCAATGTCGGAATGCCTTTTCTACCTATATATGGAAGGTTTTCTTGTACTGGGATACATGCTTCAATATGTGTGCCATCAATACAACCAATGCAATTCTACATAAATAATTTAGTGCGTGTAAATAATAAGCATACTAATGAAATACAAAGTCAAAATGAAATATTAGGAGATGGTTTACCTTAAAGTATGGCATGTAACGTTCATCATTAAATATATATCTTGGTATGAACTTGAATGTAGAATCATTTGGCTTAACATAATCCCGCGTAATACCCCTAAAACCATTTGCCCGTCCAGTAATTGCTTGTAGAACATCGTGAAATGCTCTACTAATAGTTTCACCCGAACGTTGAAACCTTTCACTTACATCCCTATTAGACAATCCCAAAGCTAGGGTGTATACAAATATACCCACCTTCTCGAACACTGATATTCTATCACTCGGGACTAATCCATAATTGGCATGTAAATCATCACATAACTTCTTGAAAACACTTTGACTCATTCGAAAAAGCATTCACACATCGAATTGGATGACCGGTCAACAATTCTCTCATCCAAGCATCTCCCGTCAGTGCTGAAGTCATGCAAGGTTCTTTGTAGATATGCTTATAATAATAATAATAAGCAACAAGTTCACTTTCATGGAGAATGGATAATGCAAAAAATAAGGAAAGTGCTTTCCTTTGATGCTCTTCCATTACGCACCTAATTCATCAGAAATAATGGCAACACATCATCAATAATATATCACAGTTATTCCAAAAGTTTGCTTTCTTAGAACCCAAACAAGCATATATATCAAATCCAATTGAATACTAGTCCAACAAAATAAATTTTAATCCACCTAAAAATTAATCACGGACAACAATTTATAAGTCTGACCAACAAAAAAGAATTATAGCTATAGATTGTAATCTTTTTTTCTCAGTGTCATGCATCATCTTCAACCAATCGAGTCTTGTGGTGTCATCATTGAGCCGCAAGAACACATCTCTGCTTACATTATTAGTGATGATTCTTCTTAGTCCATAGTTCCACAAATCACCGCCCTTATCCATCCGACCATCCTCGGTCATTCTGCTCAACATATCGATCATAGATGAAATTCTTGAACCCTCGTAACTGCTTTCACATGTTCCTGGTCCTTGTTTGATAGCTCCCAATAACTCACCATAAAATGAATTAACCTCTGCTAAGTGTTCCTTAAAGGCTACCGATCCACCCGACTCTCTTCTTTTTCTTTTCTTATGCCCGCTTGCTTGTGAAGTGTTTGATTTTGAACCTTGTGGGACTTGTGAAGTGTTTGATTTTGAACCTTGTGAAATATTTGCACCCATGTTTTGAGTTAAATTAACCCAAAAATCATCATCTTCTATTTGCTCGAATGCCGCATTGTATTGAGAATACACCTCATATGCTTCTTTGGCGGGTTCCCCATTTCCACCATCTTCACAAGTATTTTCAATGTTCTATTGCTCTTCAACATCTTGTGACGGTGCTACTGTCCTCACACCTGTTGCTACTTTACTGCCAAAAATTTATTCCCGTTTTTAAAAAATCGCAGGTGGCACTCGACACTCCTTTATGGTGAAACTTCTTGGCACCAGGTTTCTCCTATATGGAAAACGTAATAATTATACGCTTTGAGATGTTAACTGAAGGATCGATCCCACAGCCGGGAGGTAGCCTATTGATATTGTCCGCTTTGGATGCCCCTCACGGATTTAAAACGCGTCGATAGTGGTGAAGAGCCTAGGCCTTATAAGGTACCAAGGACTCTCATAACCCACCGGTGTGGGATTCTTTGGCATTCCTACCGAAGAGGCGGGTTTAAGATGCGCGAGTTTCCCCGGCTCAAGGGACTGGAGGCCCATACCTAACATTAACTATGATATGAATGCATAATTTTTTACCTTGCTTTTCCTATCCCACCACTTTGCAGTACAGTCTAGTCTATTATGGACAGGATCCCATCCTAATCCGGTGTCTTCCTGCTTCAACCAAATCCAAAGCCTCCAATCTCATTTCATGGAATCAAATTTATTCTTGAAACTCTTGGTGTTACAAACCATTTTAGTATGCACTTCAAATTGGTTTTGGATTAGTCTCCACTTGAAAGGAGTGGTTCGGCTGTTCTTCCTAATCCACTCAATATATTTTTCACAAAATATGATAACGAGATCATCCGTCCATACAAAATTTCGACCCTCTTGATTATCATTCTTGGAGCCCATCTATTTGAGTGTGTATAAATATTGTCAAAATGAGTCTTCCACGAATAAAATTATAACAGCATAAGTTCAAATTAAAAACTAGACTAGATGAAGAACATGCGTAAAAAAATTCATTAAAAATTTCCACCATGAAGGGTCCCAAACTGAAAAACTGAAACAATAATATAGTAACAACTAAATAGCAGATAGAACACAGAAAAAGAAAAAGGAGAATAAAACTAGCAAAAAATATATCATATAATGCTCTTAAAACTATTATTATTATTATTGATTAGAGTTCATGTACTATTGGATTATGATTTGGATGTAATGGCTAGAAAGTTTTCTATTTTGATTACTACTTTTTTGTGTATTGTATCTATAGCAGTCCAATGGTACATTTGAAGTCCCCTAGTGTAGTATTTTGCCTCATTTTAACATGCTTAATATTTTGCTTTCTCTGAAAGCTACATCAAAACATACACATGCAGAAAAATAGCAAAAATATAAAGCTACAGCTCTGCTTAATAACAAATTGATCAAATTGATCTCTGTTGGAAATTGTAAAAGTGCAAAACTGCACTTCATTGAAAAAAGATGCATCAAAGCATAAAAATACATGAAAATAGCAAAAGAATAAAGGAAAACTATCACAACAACACTGCAGGAAAAGCTGCATCAAAGCAATTGCAGAAAACTACAAAAAACTGCATAAAAGCTGCTCAAAACAGTTTTACACTTGCTGCAAAGTGCAACAACATAAACAATGCACAAAAACTGTTGAAAAGTGCTCAAAAGTTGCTGAAAAACGGTTTTACACCTGCTGGAAACTGCACCAGCATAAACAATGCACAAAAACTGATGAAAAGTGCTCGAAAGCTGCTGAAAACTACAACTAATTCCTTCAAGTAAAAATGTAGTAAGGACCAATATAAGATGGGAAAGATCTCATAATTTAAAACATTTTCATTTTCACACTAATGTCTTTGCCGAATGAATAAGAAGAGCTAAAATATTTAGAGAAAGATCATCAATAAATCGTATCGCAAATGAATGGATTCCTAAGATGCTAGCTGCTGCCATGTAGTATCAAATGAAAGATGCCTAAAAGCATCTATGGAACAAAATCAACAACTCCACAATATCCTTAACAACTCTCCATTGAATATTATTACAAATAACCACACAGATAGATAGATGTCTCTTACATAGAATCATTATTTATTCATAAATGTCAGAAAATATAAAAAATACATATCAGAAAGAATACATATCAAAGTATTTCAATCAAGAAAATCAAAAGGAAATAAATTTCAGCAAAATTTGAAATCTTCATTACGACAAGCTGCCTAAAAAATTTAAAACAGGAAAAAAACTCAATAAAAACAGTAAAAGCAAACAAAGAAAGAGATTAATACTCTGTATAATTGTTCTTAACTCAAGTTACTCCTACTCTTTTCATAATCAGTTCCTACGATCATGGTTTTTTTTAAATTTCATTTATTAATCTTGTAACCTGTACTTCAACAAAAAACAGAGTATCCAATTCCTATTCCTAGGCTCTCTTTCATAAGTTTTACTCAAATGAAATTTAAAAAAAAATCGAAGAACACATGGGCTAAGAGTTTGAAAAACATAATCAGAATGGAGGAGAAGAGGAGAAGAATACTTGCAGATTCCTTTGAAGAACAGAGAAAAAATGCGTTGAAGAGGAAGAAGAGATGCGCAGGGTTTTGAGGAGTTATGCGCGGGGTTTTGAGGAGTTATGCGCAGGGTTTTGAGGAGTTATGCGTAGGTTTTTTTTAAGTTATGTGCAAGGTTATCCGGAGGGTTATGCGGAGGAAAGGAAAGAATTTGAAAAGGTCTTTTCTAATGAACGCTACCATAGCATCTCATAAAAGACCTAAAAAGACCTAGACTTCTCAAAAAAGTTATTGGCCCAAACACAAAACTAGAGTCTTTTAAGATCTTTTTAAATACTCCCTCCGTCCCGTTGGAATGTTCCCGGTTTGACCTACACACATATTAAGGAAATAAACTTACCAGGGGGTAAATTTTACTGTTTTGACACTGTTTCGACACTGTTTCGACAATGTTTGACATTGTTTTGCACTGTTTGACCCTGTTTTGATGTAGGATAACTTTCCATTTAGGGAAATGAGAACTTTCCAACGGGACATCCAAAAAAAGAAAGCGGGAACATTCCAACGGGACGGAGGGAGTAATAGAGAAGCTAGAAGCTATTGCCTTTTGTGGGCCAAACATGCTAGTAGAATGAGTTTTGCTAATTGCATGAGATTGTATTTTAGGCATAATCAAGGGTTCAAAAATTACTTTTTTTTTTGTTTTTACTTTGCTGTAGAAGTCCTGTGATCGTGTAGAAAAATAGCAATGTCAAAGTGGGAAAGGCCATTCCATGTTGAAGCCAGTATTTAACGCTGCTCTTTCTCGATATTGCTTCTTCCCGACATCGCTGCTGAGAGTCGTTGACACAATAGATCAATTTGCTTCTCCACGTTGCTTCCTCACACCACGACTCTTTTCTTCGTCAACAAATCTCTCGAAGCGCAAGGCAAAATCTAAAACCCTACTAAATGCTAATTCGTTTTTGTGGGTTTTAAGGTGTGTCTGTGAGCGAATTTCAGTATTATAATTACATTCACCACACTTTCACTGATCGTTTTCTTCATGATTGACCACAGATGGAGGGGGAGAATTACAAATTCGGGCCGTACAAAATTGATCCCAATGAAGTTTTCTTCTCAACCAAATCATCATATGCTTTGGTTAACCTCCGTCCTCTTGTTCCTGGTATTTGATATTCTATTTCTTTTAACTGCATTTGTGCCTTAAGAAAGCTCCTTTACTCAAATGATCTGTTAAGGTATAACGGCTAGAACTGCAGTTTAATTTTCAGTCTTCAAATTCTTATTAAAATGTCCCTTCTCTAAATTTCCTTTACTTTTTCCATTTCTACTAGACGTCAAGTATATACACGGTCAAACGCTCAAGTTATTGTATTTCTGTGATTAGCCATGCATTTTCTTAAAGGGAAAAATACTCTAATATTACTAAAACTCACCACTTTTCCCAAAATATGACTATAGATGTTTTTTGATGTGGTGTATGACCAAATTATGTGGCACAAAACTAGGAGCAATCAATAAAGGTGAAGTGCTACACGGTTGTCTCTAAAAAATAGGAGGTCAATATTAATCATATGGATGGCAACATGCATCATTGTAGGGAAAAAACATAATTAGTCATACTCTAGGAAAACACATGAGTTTTAGTAATATTTATAATAATTTTCTCTTTCTTAAATGCCAGGGTGAAGTTGGTATTATGAGCTGATTGAGCTCAAATGATCTAATTGTGGGCCGTTTTCTTTCTTCTTTTTCTGTGCAGGTCATATCCTTTTTATTGCAAATAATTAAGTGGTATATTGGGATTTGTTGGGGATAAGAATTTGCATTTTGCTGAGGCTGGAATGGAGAAACTCCTTTAAGATTGATCGATAAAAAGTTAGAAAGTGTGCTTGGTTTGCTTTCTGTATTTTTTTACAATCATCCATGTGTCCTAAAAAGTGTCCTGTTTCAAACAATTTATTGGTCCATTCATAAAGTCAAATTTGGCCAACTGAGTTAATTTTTCATTAATTTGCCAAAAGCTTACCAAAAAAGAGTCCCACAAATTTCATATGTAAAGTCTAGTTACACAAACAGATAAGTTTTAAAAATATATGTACGATCATGAATATGTTAGTCGTAGCCTGTAGGTTACGAAAATAAAAGTCTATGCATTAGTCTAACAAGCCTTTTTATTTGGGCAAGAGTTCGTAGAAACTTTATCTAATGACATGGCAATTGAGAGTACAAATATGGATATCACATTGGTGAGAGCCTCCAGGATTGTAACCCCACACTTCCCATATGCCAACTGATAAGCGCTTTGTTAATCTTTGACACTTCACTCATAGATATATACATCTATTTATGTATTTTTAATTGTTTATAGTACATAGTAGTGTATATTGATCTTTGTTAGTGTGATTATTTGGGGGGTGAGTATGTTGGGGTGTTTGTTGGTTGGAAAGGTTTGACTTGCTTTAGCTTAGCTCCTCTGCATGAACTTCAAGTTGTATCACTTGTACGTCGGGTTGGCTTAACATAAATCTACATGTGCTTGTCTGCCCAAAGCGTGAAGTGATGCGCTTTGCTGATCTCAGTGCTGATGAGATTAGTGATTTGTGGTGTATAGCACAAAAGATTGGGGGCCATCTTGAGTCCTACCACAGTGCATCATCACTCACATTCGCAATCCAAGTATGCTCTTTTTTACATTTCATATACTTAGTGTTTTCATGTATTTTGTGCTGATACTGAAGCAGCCATGGAATCTGGCAAAGTAGAAACTTGAGACATAATCATAATCACTTTTCTAGTTTCACTGATTAGGTGTTTTCTATATAACATTAGCCAGTAGCCACAACGTAATGCCCTTATGCTTTACTCATTTTCCTTTTTCTAACATATGAACATGCTCCCTTGATAGCTCTAGTACTCCATATGTTATTAAAACTTCACTGTAATAAGTATAATCTAGGCTTGATCTGTTCTTCCTCCCTCCAATTTATTTATTATTTATTAATTTATGTTAATTAAGGTCTTATGATTTTTTTTGGAAGAAATTTGGCATTTGCTACTCATGTTTTATTGGACATTCGACTTTGTACTGTATGTTATATTTTCTTATCCGTTGCACTCTATGTGCCTACTCAATAGTCAATTTTTCTCTCCCTATATTAAGCCGGATGAGTGGGTAACTATTAGAGTTCCAGGGTTAGGCAAAGGGTATCATTTGAGGCAGCCAGTGTTGCAAAAACTCGTCGACTAAACCCATATAAAACATGTTTAGAATATATAGGACATATATATCAAAGCAAAGACAATTTATTTTACTCAATAGTCAATTTTTCTCTGGTAAGAAATCCCTATATTAAGCCGGATGAGTGGGTAACTATTAGAGTTCCAGGGTTAGGCAAAGGGTATCATTTGAGGCAGCCAGTGTTGCAAAAACTCGTCGACTAAACCCGTATAAAACATGTTTAGAATATGATGGGGTTATGGGACTAGGCCCAGAGCCTAATCGGCCCAGGCCCCGAACTTGGACCAGCGGGCCCAAGCCCAGCAACCCAGAGCTCGAGTCAGCCCAACCAACCAGGGCAATCAAGGAGCGGAAGCCCAACTGGGAGCCTGCGGTCCAGCCTACCCGGGAGCATTCCTTCCAGCCTACCCGGGAGCCTGCGGTCCAGCCCAACTGGGAGCCTGCGGTCCAGCCTACCCGGGAGCCTGCCTTCCAGCCCAGTGGGGAGCCTGCCTTCCAGCCTAGCCAGGAGCCTGCCGACCACCAGCCCAGCTGGGAGCCTGCGGTCCAGCCCAGGTGGGAGCCTGCCTCCAGCCCAACGGGGAGCCTGCCTTCCAGCATACTCGGGAGCCTGACTTCCAGCCTAGCCAGGAGCATGCCGACCACCAGCCCAGCTGGGAGCCTGCGGTCCAGCCCAGGTGGGAGCCTGCCTCCAGCCCAACGGGGAGCCTGCCTTCCAGCATACTCGGGAGCCTGCCTTCCAGCCTAGCCAGGAGCCTGCCGACCACCAGCCCCGCGGGGAGCCTGCGATCCAGCCCAACTGGGAGCCTGCGGTCCAGCCCAGGTGGGAGCCTGCCTCCAGCCCAACGGGGAGCCTGCCTTCCAGCCTACCCGGGAGCCTGCCTTCCAGCCTACCCGGGAGCCTGCCTCCAGCCCGGTCAGAAGCCTTCCTCCAGCCTAGCGGGAAGCCCACCGTCCAGTCCAGCAGGGGGGAGCTCAAGCGTCCAGCCTGCCAGCCAGGCTGACCTGCCAGCCAGGAAGAGTAACGACCAACAATCAATGCGCGACTTAATTATGTGTTTAATTCCGTATTAATGTTGTAATTAATTTAGTCATTATTATGTTCGGCAGTTACCATTTGTAATCGCCTATAAAAGACAATTCGAATTTCAAATACAGGGATGCTTTTTCTGGCTAACTTTCCATATTCGTACTTTCCTAATTCATGCTTGAGTGTCGTACGTAGCTTTCCTAAAAGCCTACGAGCGTCCTATTTTGGACCAACATTGGTGCTTTCATTGAGAGCCTCTATTGTCTCTCACATAACTTGAGTAGGAATCACACAGGAAGATGGTTGGAATCTCGTCTCGACGTGACCATGTCTCAGTCCACACTGAGGAGTCCGCCCGGTCTAGCCGCCAGCATTCCCTCGACAACCATGCACAGGGCAGGAGGGCGGCGCGCCAAGGCGACCTTCGGAACCAATTATCAGGCCACAGTGACCTAAGGGCGACACTCAACCACACTCAAGGTGAGCGCTCGGTCCGCAGCCGGCGGGGGGGAGGCCGACGTCATGCTCCGCGCATGGACCCGGCTCGACTCAATGCCGGGGTGGAAGCCTTGCAGGAGGCAACTCGGGTTCTGGGGACCTTGGCTCAAAATTTCCAACAGATGGTGTCTGGCGGAAATGTGGATGAGCCTGCCCGTCAACAGACGCCAGCGGATGTGGAGGTGTCCTCCAGGCGGCGTGATGAGCGACGCTCTGGATCCAACCAAAACAGGGGGAAGAAGTCTCCCATCGGCGAGGGGAAGAAGTCTCTCAGCAGCCTAGCCGACCCCATCAGCAGACGGGGAGGGGCGCCCAGCAGGGGCGCCCAACGCAGATGGAAGGAGGCGATCCCTCTCGCCACTCTCACCGGGCGAGCAGTCGGACTGGCTCCACGGAGAGGCAAAACGTGGGGCCCCAACCTCACGTGCACGGACGACTTGGAGGTGCCGCCGGTTATGCCCAGCCCCGCGCTGGAGCTGTCCGGGGGAACCCACCGCCGACCGAGGTGGAAGATCTACGACAACGCCTTGACGAGTTGAGAAGGAGGGTTTTCGGGGGGGAGCCTTACACGGCCGACCTCCGGATACCCGAACCCTTCACCCGGGCGGTCATGGATGCGCCGTTGCCGAGGGGCTACAAGCCTTGCGCCATTGAAGCATACAAGGGCGCTTCGGACCCCCAGCATCATGTATCTCGGTACCTTTCCTACATGGTCATGATGGGGTACGAGGACGCAATCCGATGCCGCAGTTTCTCCGCCACTTTGGATGGCCCGGCTCGTGAATGGTATGACTCTCTACCCGACAGGAGTATCACGAATTTCCGTGAGTTGGCTCAGCGCTTTCTCTTGAGGTTCGCGAGCTCCCGAGACGTCAAGAAAAACTTCAGCCACCTGTTCGGCCTAAAACAGGGGAAGAAGGAATCATTGTCGACCTTCCTAGCAAGGTGGAGGGCCGAGTCAGTCAAGGTTCAGGGCCTTGATGACAAGACCGGGGTGGCCATGCTCACAAACTCTATCCGATCGGGCGAGCTTTACAAAGATTTCGTCAGAAGTCCCCCTACCTCGTACGAGGAGGCGCTCGGCCGTGCCGACCGGCAAGCCGAGGCGGAGGACGCCTTGCAGAGGAAAAGAGATGAGGAAGAAGGTGCAAAAGAAGAAAAGAAGAAGGAAGCCGGTTCGGGTGCTGAGAAAGCTGACGGCAAAGCTAGCAACAAAAACAATAAATACAAAGGTAACAAAAGTAGAGGCAAGGGCAAGGCGGACGTCCCGAGCGGACCGCTACAGCCCGTCAAGCAATTGACTCCACTTGCTCAGCCGGTCGGGGCCATCCTCGACTACGCGGAGGAGCAAGGTTTAGTCGACTTTCCTGAGGAGTGTGATGTGGTGACTGCCAAGCGCAACCACGACCAATATTGTCGATTCCATCGGAGAGCAGGGCATGATACAGATGATTGCGTCATTCTCCGGCGGCAAATTGAAGAACTCATCCAGAAAGGGTACCTGGGCCAATTCGTTGGCAAACAAGGAGGCATCCCGCAGAAGAGGAGCCTAACGTGGCAGCGGTCCGACCAAGCTACCACGTCAAAGGAGACACCCCCTGCCAAGAAGCGGGAGCTCGGCGCCTTCTCCGAGGAAGACGATGCCGACCTAGGGAACGGCCCCCGGAAGTACCATCGATGTTCATTCATATTCGGGGGACCCCAGGGAGGCGACACCTCTGGAGAGCGGAAGCAGTGGGCCCGAGCCCTATACGTCGGGGAGATAACCAGGGCTCCCGCCGACATGAGGGTGAAGAGGGACCCCATCTTCTTCACCGACGCAGATTTGCCACCGATGCCTCCGCCGCACAGGGATGCCTTGGTCATCAAGGTCGAAATCAACAACACGATCGTCCACCGAGTCCTGGTGGACAATGGGAGCTCCGTTAACATCATGTACTATGACACCTTCCAAGGTCTCGGGCTGGACCGAAAAGACTTGATCCCGGTGAGAACCCCACTCTCAGGCTTCACCGGGGACTCCATTGAGTCGGAGGGCAGCATAGTCCTCCCTGTGATGGTGGGCTCCGAGCCCTGCGTATCCAAGTTAGACGTCGAGTTTATCGTCGTACGTCTAACTTGTGCGCATAAGATCATCATGGGAAGGCCGGCCCTGGAAGACCTCAGATGTGTGATATCCCAGGAGCACCTATGCATGAAGTTTCCCACTCCGGATGGCGTCGGAGTCGCCAGGGGAGATCAGCGAATGGCGAGGAGCTGCTATCTGAAAGCTTGCAAACAAATCGGTCAAAAAGACTTGAGGATCCACACTATCAACAGCAAAGCCATGAAGTATGAGGAGGGTCAGCTCCGCGCTGAACCCACCTCAGACGTGGAGGAGATCCAGATTGACCCTGAGAGGCCGGAGCGGAAGGTCAAGATCGGGACCGGGCTCCCGGTCCGCTTGAGGGAGAAGATTATCCAGGTACTTGTCCTTTTTAGCGTTGTCTTCGCGTGGGGACCGGATGACATGCCTGGACTTGACCGAAGCATCGCTGTCCATCGGCTGGCGGTCAATCCAACGGCGAAGCCCATCCAGCAGAAAAGAAGACACCTCTCAACCGAGAGGAGGGAATTCGTGAAGAAGGAGGTCAACATGCTCCTGAGTATCAAGCATATCCGGGAGGTCTTGTACCCGGTTTGGCTGGCAAACGTGGTCCTGGCCCCGAAGCCGCCAACCTGGAGGATGTGTGTTGATTACACCGATCTCAACAAGGCATGTCCGATGGATCCATTCCCATTGCCTAACATCGACCAACTAGTCGATGGGACGGCCGGATGTGAGCTCCTTAGCTTCATGGACGCTTTTCGAGGATACCATCAGATTTTCATGCACGAAGAAGATGTGGAGAAGACCTCGTTCGTCACCCC